ATGGTGTTGGCCAAGCAGAATGCAGACACCATGAACAAGGTGAGTCTGGATTTGATCAGGTGACACATCAACAGTCTCTGCCTCACCCCTGGAGACAGGACCAGAACCACAGACCTGTGCTTGTGCTTTATGATTCCAGCACAGTAAGGCTGTAAAAATGAGTTCCACTCTTGGTAATCAATGGGAAACTTACTTTCAGCAAGTGCTGATTGAATAATATCTTTCTATGATAATTGCTAAGTGAATTTGTCACAATTATCAATTGTGAAAGTCTCCAAATACTCTGCTGTGTTTCTCCTGCAGCGTTTGTACACTGAGGCCTGGGATAAAGAYAAGACACAAATCCACATCATGCCTGACACGCCTGAAATCACACTGGCAAGAGAGAACAAGAGAAACTACAGTCTGGTGAGTGTGGGAACTCTCCAAATGTACTGCTCCATGTCAAGGCTGGATCAGGAATGTTCTGGTAAACCATCTATAGATGACACCATCAGTTTCCTTAAGTAACTCTCATGTTTATCCATAAAACTGTGACTTTAAGCATTGCTTTCACATTTGTGGTAGTGCATACATAGAGCAATGAGCACTATTGAAGAAAGTTGAGAAGAAATTCCATAAATTCAACACAAGTTCTGTCTCCACTGAATTTTAAGGAGTGCCAGAGTGCACGATGTGGCGAAGCCACAAAATTAATACCAAAATATAATTACCAGCATAATTCTGAAAAGTGTTGATGCCAGTATTCAATGTTCTTTTAGGCAAATGAGTTCACATCAGTAAGAGATGGCTTTTAATTAAGTTTTATTCCGCTTGTATGGAAGAAAAGTTTAGCTCTAACTTTAGTCAATTTTACATTATTTAAAGCAGTAAAATAAAAATCCCTTAACAAATGTATTTAGGAAAGATCTTCCTTTGGTGTAAATTTGTATCAGCTACTGCTCTGAGGCTTTGAGTTAAAGGCAAATAAAACTGGGTATAATAAATCTGAACACAAGTTTTAGATCTACTTCCAAGCAGTTTGTTTTACATAGAATATAATAGATGGAACTTACATGAATCCCATTGTTTAATTCTTCATCTAGAAACAATACAGACAGGCCATGGAGGATGCAAAGAAGAAAGGCTATGATTTGAGAGCTGATGCCATCCCCATCCAAGCAGCCAAAGCATCCAGGCAAATTGCCAGTGATGTAAGAACCTACTTTTCTATTTCTTCATATGCTGACATCTCTCCTCTGCAACCTGTAAATTATCAGYTGGATTCTGTAAAAGGCACTGCAGTCAAACTGTGACCTTAAGTAATAGATATTTGCAAGCAAATTATTATGTATGTTTAAAAAAATTAACAGTGATAATTATAAAAGAATATAATGCTGCTATCGTAATAGTATAACTCATAACCCTATATGTGTAAATAAGTATTAACACTATATATATAATTATATGTAATTATGATTAAATACATTTCATATGGGCAGGATTATTTCACACTGTTATTGGTGAAGCACATTTCTACAAAAAAAACAAAACAATAAAAAATTTCTGTTTAGTATTCTAACTCAAATAGCAAAATGCTTTAGTCCTAGAATCCAAGTTATTAGCACAAGAATTTCTTTGACTGTTTGGGGTTTTCTTAAGGGTAGGTTATAGATAAATTTGGAAAGGTTATTGTTAGAAATATTTAATGAGTAACTGATATTTCGAAGCGAAACAGAAACATCCTATCTTGGTTTGTGTTCCAGTACAAATACAAGGAAGGTTATCGCAAACAGCTGGGCCACCACATCGGGGCCAGGAACATCGAGGATGATCCCAAGATGGTGTGGTCA